GGCATCCTTGATTTTCCATGCATATGTCAGGCTCACTCCTTTCTCAGGGCATTTGCACTGGCTTTTCTCTCTGCCTTGAATACTTTGTTTACAAATATTGATAAAACTTGCCTTTTCACCTCAGCTTGACTACTCTATTTATAATGGTAATCCCTCCTTATCTCTAACTCCCTACACAAAGGTAAACTGGACTAAGATACTTGACTACACCCTTTTTCTGCAAAACAATTAACACCTGTTAATAGGCTTTGTATTTTATTATCGATTTGTCTATTGTCTGATTCCTCAACTTGAATACTTCAGCTCCACCAGGCCAGCAAATTTTGCTGTTATGGTGACTGCTACATTCCCAGTATTAAGAACAACAGTTTTGGTAAATGGTAAATATAGCCCTGAGTGACATATTAGGCATTCAATAAACACTGGTTGAATGAATGAACGATTTGCTTATTTCTTATGAATTAGACCATGCTTTGGTACCTTATTGTACCAATTACTGGAGTCAATAGGTATGGCTGCAAACTATAAGTAAATTTCAGCTCATGTACAAGGCTGATTTCAAATATTTGGTGTGTAGATGCATAGATCTTGGCCTCTGTCATCTTTAATGTTTACTGTACCATTTTCTTCTGGGGTGTGTATTTACCGAAATCATCTTAGTCCTCATTCACTGTTCTCCACCAAAAATAATGGAGAATTCCTCAGGTGAGAGGAAAAATAGTATGTAGTTTTTTAATCCTCTCTTTAGTGTTTAGAATTCTTTTCATTCTCACTTGTGACACCACTGGTATTGCAAACCAAAGAACCCAACATTAAAATTTTCCTGCCATTTGGAATTCAGACAATAGCTGCCTTGATCCCTGTTCTTCTCTTGCCAACAATTGGAGAAGCTATTATATTACATGCATGGACTGTCCAATGAACAGAAGGCCAGGTGTCACTTTGAGTGACAGCCTTCCAGTTTGCAAAAACTGTAATTCTCTTCATTCAATTGAGTGATTGTGTGGCTGTATGTCACTTTGCCTTCAAAATATCTCCTCTTAACTTCCACTGTTTTGACTGCATTGTGGAGTTGATGCTGTAAGGAGAGGGTGGTATAATGCAGAGAGCACTGACAAGTTTGAAGCATGTGCAAGCGGGAGCATATCTCCCCCTGCAACGTTTATATCTTTGGCTAATAGTGATATAATTCCTCTCTCCTTTTTAAGTGACGGGTGGTAGGATTTGTGCTTTTGTTCTTCTATAAAAGGAAAATCAGGTTCGTGTGGTCTGTAAGGATAGGATTCATCTAGTTTTAAGATTTGGATCTAATTCCTCAAGAACATTCTTATATTAACATAGTTGAATGGAAATAAAACTATGGCTGTGCTAAACTGATTCTGTCATCTTACTCAAAATGGAGATCATCGTGTGGCTGATTTAGCTGCAGTTGTTCTCATTTGATGTTACTGTCAAGATAGCCACAACGATGAGCTTGGAAACAAAGTGGTCTGTTTAACTGGCCACAGGTGACAGTCAATGGACTGGTGTTTTTCTTAGCAGCATCTAGCAGGGCTGTTTTTTCTCAAGTGTCCTGTGATGTTAAGTAAAAACATCTATATTGCCACTCACCCAGACAGCAGTATAGTTGCTTTAGTTAGTTGAACAATTTCCTAAAAGTTGGGAAGACTTACCATTCTTCAGAGTCAGCCCTTGAGTGGGAAGAAAAGTGCCTCTCTTTGCAGTATAACTGGATTAGGGCTCAAGCAATCTGTTCTTTATCCAAACAACAGCAGCAGCATATTATGAAGGTCTGGGCCCTTAGGATGGGGACTGAGACTTCATTCTTTTAGAGAAGACTTTTCTCTGGTTCCGAGTCCTGTTTTAGAGAGATGAATGTGTCAGAGACTGCTATGCATTGGCAAAATTCATTTTCTGCCCTTCCTGGGGAAACGGCTAGACCTATTTCCCAGTCTTTCTTTGGTAATGTGAAGGTATATGATAAGAGCTTTGGCCTGTGAAATTTGAGTACACTGTGTCACTTCTTGGTCAAAGTGGTAAAGATGTAGGTGTGTCTTCCTTGTCTGCTGGCTGAACAGAGGCACTCCAAGGATCTAGATATGGGTGGGGCCATGAGACTGAAAGATCCTGAATGGAGACTGCTTGAGTAGAAACACCTGTGTTGCAGGGTAACATGAGTATGTAAGGGTGTTCTCAGCCATTGACATTTTAGGATTTACTTGCAAACAACAGCTAGCATTACTGTCCTAATTAGCCTGTCAGCCACAGGCTGAATGAAAAGGGGAGGCTTTGGCGGAAATAGGACCAGTTGGATTGCTCTTACAGAGATAATTTTTATCTAACTCTAATTCTAGAGTTGACACGATAAAGAATAAAACGAATTCTGAATAAGTATTTATTATCTTACATGTAAATGACAAAAGTGACAAAGATAACCTCAATATTTTAAGCTGAGAAATTAGAATAGTACTTACCTCAGACAAAGAGTGAAAATTGGGAAGAAGAGCTCAAGAGGGGTTCATGATTATGAAGTGGATGCAGTGAATGCTGTTTGGTATGTGAACAATATGAAGAGCTGGGAATACAGAATGGGAGACTAGGTGAGAGGTTAGAGTGCAGCTTTAGATTTATGAGTTGTTAACATCTGCAGAAAAACTGAGAGGAAAGGTAAACAAGTATAATGGTAGCACAAACGAGGATCCTACTGTTAAAAGAGAAACAGGAATCAGTAAAGGCAGCAGAAAAAAAAAAAGACGAGAGCAATATAAATGAAAGACAAATTAAAGAGCAATATAATATAAAAGCAGAAGAGAGTTTGCTAAGTAACTTTGCTTTGACTTTTTAAGTCTCCTTCCTGTGGACATACGTTTGCATGACTGTGATAGATTTATATATCTATAAACTGCTACTTTGTAAATTTTTAAGGGATGGTCACTGGGCTGGCCTACTGTAAGCCTAGGGCAAAGGAAGCTTGGAAAGGCATAGGACACATTTTGGCTTTAGTATATGTTTCAACCTCTGTAAGATATTTGTTGAGCATCTTTGATATGGTAAGCATTAAATAAAACTGGTAAAATGGGAGATGGTCATACTACTAGCCATAATATAGAGTCATAGGTGCCCTGATGTGCTTTGAGGATGCAAGGCTGGGGGTGATGAATTGTTTTTCCCCTGAAAGATGTGTCAGAGAGAAGGTAATATAAGAGCAAAGTAAATTTCAAACAGAGAGTGCACAATGAGCAAAGGCAAACAAGCACATGCATGGGAAAGAACTGAGGAATGGTGAGAGGTCATGTGTGGCTACTGGGTGATGAGGCTGGAAAAGGGAGGGTAGCTCTACTAAGGATTCTAAAAAAAGGAGGGACAAAGATCTCTGCTTTGGAAAGATTGGGAGAAACAGGAAGCATGGATGACCATTAGAAGATTATTACAATTGTCAGGTAAGAAATAATGAGAGTTCAGTATGGAGAGTGGTAGGCATAGGAAGGCAGGAGGGAACAGATGTGAACATGTGTTAAAACTGGAAATGGTAGAATTCTCTGACAGACTGGATGTAGAAATGAGTGGAAAGCTTAAGAAAGTTCAACAATTCTGCCTAAATTTGAGGAAGCCATTAAAGGCATAGGGTGTGGGGAATTGGTATTATATATTTAGATTATTATCCACTACATCTAATGGGGGGAGGGGGAATTGCCTTCAGCTTCAAGGAATATCCAGAATACAACTGCTTCTCATCATTTCCCCCTCTATTACTCTAGACCAAGCTGCTGTCCTCTTTTGCCTAGATTACTACAATGCCTTCTAGTGACCCTGCATTTACCCTTGGCTTTTGATAGTCTATTCTCAATGCAGTAGGCAAAATTATCCTGCTAGAACGTAAGGACAAGCATCTCCTCTTCTCAGTATCATTCACTAGCTTTCTACCTTCCTCAGAACAAAACCAAAATTCTCATATGATCTACAAAGAATTATCTAATCTGCCATCCTTCATGTTCCCCTCTCATCCACACATACACACCCATTATCTGCTATCTGGCTTGCTTAACTCCAGCTTGATTGGCTTTCTTGTGATTCCTATAATAGAACAGGTATATTTCTGCCTCAGGCCCTTTGCACTTGCTTTTGTCTCTGTTGGGAATGCGCTCTCTTGGAAACTTGCATGGTTCTGCTGCTTCACTTTTTTTCAGGTCTTTACTCAAATGTCATGTTTACTGAGAGGCCTTCCCTCATTATTCTACTTCAAATGTAAGTATGCCTTTCTTTCCCTTCTCTGCTTAATTTTCATTCTTAGCACTTTTCACTGTTTAGCATTCTTGATTTTTACTTAATTACTTTAATTTTTAATGTGTTTAATGTGTCTTCCTCACTAGAATGCAGGCTTCATGAAGGTGGGATTAAAACAATTTTTTTCATCTCTATCAGACACCAATGGTATTCATTAGTATTTCTCCAAAACACTTTCAATAATATTCAAGATACATTACATAAATAATGAAGTTATATAACTTATAACATTATATAACAAAATTATAATTGTTTTTAAATGTTGAAACTGGGATTATATAAACAGTTTTGAGGATATATGTTATAAAAAGCATGGTCCAGAAATGTCTCTTAAATGAGGTAAGGAGCTGAGGCAGACATCAGCCATACCATTTCTGTGAATTCCAGATCTACATTGGGAGGCTGGATGCACATGGTTGGTGAGAGGCTGCAAGTCATTGAAGGACTCAAAGATCTCCTTAGACTTATATATCTTTGAGACAGTAAGAAGGAATTAATTCTTGCCTGTTCTCCACCTTTGAACCATGATACTGAAACTCCTATGGCTACATACATCATCACTCTTGTAACATCTCCAAACGATTCACCAATGATGTAATATAAACTGTCAGCTTTGGAGAAATGTGTTTTAGACAATAATGGAAGTGTATGTGGAGAACATGATGATTATGTAACACCCAAACGAAATAATTCTAACAGTGAAGAAGGTAAAGGTAATAAACACTTGGCCAAGGAGATAACATGATCACGAAAGTGGTTCTCTCAGGGCGAGGCTCATCAATTGCATTTCAGACTGTGCTGACCTCTGCAATTTCCCCAAATGTGGGAAACTTGGTGCGTAATTGGTTAGTGGTAGACTGCGTTTGTGCTCTTAAAAGAAAAAAAGGTGAAGATAATAAAGTCAGTCTTGTGAATTACATGATTGATTCATCTACTTGTCAACACTGATTGAATCTGTCCTTTGTAGGCTCTGTTTGGAAACAGGGATGCAAGATTAACGAAAAATTATGCTCACTGCAGATAAAGTTCACAGTGTAATTAGGAACACAGGCAGGAAAATGAATAATTATTTCACTGTATAAAATATTATGACAGGGGCGCCTGGGTGGCTTAGTCGGTTGAGCGTCCGACTTTCGCTTAGGTCATGATCTCGCGGTTCGTGGGTTCGAGCCCCGCGTCGGGCTCTGTGCTGACTGCCGGCTCAGAGCCTGGAGCCTGTTTCAGTCTGTGACTCCCTCTCTCTCTGACCCTCCCCTGCTCACGCTGTCTCTCCCTCTCTCTCTCCTTGAAATAAATTAAAAAAAAAAAAATATTATGACAGAGTCATACAAAAGATGTTATGGGAGGCAATGAGAAGAAAACGTCCAATCACAAAATCTTTTGTTTGTAGAGATCCAGGATACAACTTTGAGGAGAAAAGCAGTATACATGATTTTGTGCATATATTTATAGTAATATTAAATGTAAAAATACATATAAGGGAGCATAAGGTTAAACTATTTTTTATTAATCAAATTGATAGTTGAATTTAAAGATGATGCAGTGTCTTTATAGATGACTGTGTTCAGCAGCTGAAAATTTGACTCTCAAACTCAAGATAGAGGTTGGGGCTAGAAAGCAGCATTTTGATATTGTTGATTTATAGGTGATAAAGTTATAGCAGTGAATACGATTACTCAGAGAGCATAGAGCAGGATGGTCCAATATCTATCTATCTATCTATCTATCTATCTATCTATCTATCTATCATCTATCTATCTATCGATGGGTGGGGAAGAGAAGCCTGTGACAGAAATGGTGGAAAAATATCATGGGAGTTGGAGACAATCCAGGAGACCCATTTTCAATATCAAGGAGGAAAAAAACTGGAGAAGGAAATTCTCAATCCTGTCAAATGCTTTGTAGTATCAAATGAAATGACTGAAATGAAATATTATTAAAAGAAAATACTGCAGACAGCTTCTTTAATTGATGGGTAGACTCAAAGTTCTAAGTTGGTTTAATACTCTTTAGAATATGAGGCGACTTCATACCAAAAAAAAGTAACTCAGGAACTAGAGAAAAAAATCATCAAATATCAAGTTTCCATTATAGTCTTTCCATTGTATCAGCAAACATATTACCTGGTTTTTATTAGTCCAATAAAAGCGATGGCTTTTTCAAAAATTCAGGTTTGGATAAAGTCCACATGATTTCGGGATTTTCAAAATCTATTTGACAAGACCATAAGGAGGATATAGCATGGATCCAATTTTATGCTATCTATATATTTTTCCCAGGTCACTTGTTTCTTGCCCTCTTCTTTCCTAATATTTCCTATAGAGTTTCTCTGTGGTTTTCAAAATCCCACTAGCATATTTTTGTCATACCCGACATTCATCTTGTTGTAGGCTTAGATATTTCTGGAAGATCAAATCACTGAGCCTAATAAAACACAGATAATGGCATTTTTGACGATCTGGTACATCCATTTCTTAATGAGCTTAGGGGTCACACTGTCTGGTAAATGGCAGAGCGGGCACTAAGGCAGATTTGGGCCGCTGGTGGGCATCGATGTGATTATTGGCTGGAAGAAATGTGGATGAGTTGGTCTATGTCTAATCCTTTTGTGGCTTTCTGTGTGACACACTGTAATGAAAACATTGCCGCAAATGACAAGAATTGTCAAAATGGGCTACCAGAAGATGTTTTTCACTCTAGAGTCTGCTAACCAAAAATGTACGGTACATTGTGTTATATCTATATGCTGCTCTTACTCAGTGGATGTACACAGGAGCTGAGCAATTAAGGTGTGGTAAGAAAGTGAAACCCTCTTTGAAGTCAATGTAGTGGGGGTCTAAAGGATAATTGTTTTATTGCTGCAAATGTAGAAATAGGTTGGAAGTCAAATTTCACTCCTGGGGCTAAAGTCTTATTTGCTTTTGAATGCTAGGTATTTAGTTTAAGTATTAAAGATAGTTATACTGTTTCTATACTTATTATTTGTAATTTTTGGGTGTATGATTTAACAGTTAAAAACACACAAACTCTCTTCTATTAAACTGTTTAATCATTTAGGTCCTTCCAGGAAATTTATATATAAACATTAACTGTTTGCTTGGGCCATGCAATGTAGATTAAAGTTCCTGGGAAAATTAAAAGATCTTAAACAATTCACTATTGAAACCACACACCTAGTGTAATAAGTGCTTTTTAGTGATTTTCTCACCTACTCCTCCCAACATCTTTAGAAATCTGTACTATTATTCTCCCATTTACAGATTAAGTATCAGAGACAGACATACAGAGGCAGCAAACTCAATATCACGATTCAAACCCAGGGAATCTAAACTCCAGAGCGCATCTGGCCACTCACCTAGCTTTTGCTCACCTATGCATAATTTGTGCTGCCACATATTTTATCTCATTTGAATTTCTCAGCACTGTGAGGCAGGCATGGAAGGACAACTATTCCTGTTTTGAAGATGAAGATCCCAATTACATGACTTATGCAGTGTCTCATAAAAATAAATGTGTGACAGACTGGGCTAAATTCTAGCTTTCTTAATTCTATTTCAGCCACTTTTTATCTGTTAATCAACTCACTTTTTTTAGAAAAACTAGAATTTTTCCTATTAAAAAAAAAACAATGAAATGTTCTTTGTGTGCTTTAAAAAATGTCATTAGCATTTCTCTTAAGGAGAATAAAATAGGAAAGCAAATCTACTTTTCTTTGATGCATTAGTTCAACAGGTAGTTGCAAGGCAGTTTTGAAGGGCCAGAAATAGGGTTTATAGGTAGTAGATGAGGTCATCAGAGAAAAATGGCATCCCTCAGGGTGAATTATGAAAGTACCATGTTATGGTCAACAAGAAAGGAAGCCCCCCAAAGATTCTGATGTATATAAATTTCAAATGGCTACTCTCCCCAAACCTAAAAGACCAAATCAATGAAGTGCACTCTTAATGCATGCTTCCTATGTCCAGAACAGTAGGTAGAGGAGGTCATAGATGACTGAGACTGGGCCCCAGCTTTCCAGGAAGGTCTTGTAAAGAAGGAGAAGGCAACATGGCAATAGCTTTAATACAAGACAGAATGAGAGAAGTGCCATAAGTAAAGTAAAAATTACAATGGGGTTCAAGAAAGGGTGAGAGCACATCTGGTTGGGGGCTATCCAGAAAGCTTTGTAGGGAAACACGTTGTAGGATGGGTAGGGTTTTGGCACCGGAGAGAAATATGTGGGATGAGGCTAGTATGGAATTTAAACAGGGTAGCTTTTGCCTAAGGCTATACCACCCTGAATGTACCCGATCTCATCTAAACAGGGTGGCTTTCTTTTTTTTTTTTTTTTTTTAATGTTTTATTTATTTCTAGGAGACAGAGAGAGAGACAGCGTGAGCAGGGGAGGGTCAGAGAGAGAGGGAGTCACAGACTGAAACAGGCTCCAGGCTCTGAGCTGGCAGTCAGCACAGAGCCCGACGTGGGGCTCGAGCCCACAAACCGCGAGATCATGACCTAAGCGAAAGTCGGTCGCTTAACCGACTAAGCCACCCAGGCGCCCCAAAACAGGGTGGCTTTCAATCCACAAATTGAGAAAGCAAATGGAAGTTTATATTTTACCTTAATTTCTTAAAATTACACTGATTTTTAATGGTTCTCTGCAAAGAAGAGAAGCGTCTACTATAATTAAATCTAAAAACTCCTTATTGATAACGCTTTTCTTCCAAAGAAGTTACAGAATTGTGCGATCTAGATCATCTGAATGACTGTCTTTTGCAGTAAGTAGGAACTTAAAAAAAAATGAGTGCCTAAGTAATTGGCCTTTCAAGAAAAAGTCACTAGTAAGTTAAAAATAGAGTTAGTACCATCTTTGGAATTTCTTCTACTTCTCCACTTCTTAGTACAAATGACAGAGATTATAAAAGCTTAATTCTGGAATTGAAAAATGGATATTAGTGAAATGAGTAGAAAAGTGTTTTTGAATATAGTTGCAATCTACAACTTTTTATAACAGTCTATTCTTAAATATGGGTCAGTGAACAAAGGTCCTCTGCTTTTCACAAATATCCAAATGCTATTTTCTACCTGATAAAAATCTCTCAGCTCATCATGCTAGAATGTCTGAGATTCATTAGAACATACCAAATCCATTCCACTTATGAAATGAATGAAAGTACCAGAAGGTTGCTATGCTGAACACAACCTATATGACAAACATGTGTGGCAACTCCCCATGGACCTACTGCATTATGGTGGGAACAGCAGGGAACTCAGCCCCTAAGCTAACAGTTTGAGACTCTTCCTTCTCTCAGGGCACAAAGCATTTCCTGGGAATTCTTACCCAAAAGTGTTAAAGTTATTAGCACTTAATTATGCTTTAGCTAATATAGGCACCATTACAGTACAAAATAAAAGAAAAAGGAGAATGGGGAATCTGCAGTGAGTAAATCAGTATTGTCAGACTGATTTAGGTGAAGGCTGAAGCTATTTTAGTAGACTCAAACTTTAATTCCTGAAAAGGAAGAATGGAATTTCCTTCTGAGCGAAAATAATGCTCTATTCACATGATTTAGGGCCCATCTAATCTGGTTTTCTCCAGATTTGCTTTTAAGAATTAAGCGTACATTGAAAAAGAACTAACTGATTCTACAATGATAATAGAACACTTAGAAATTCCTATGTTTAAATGGCTCAAGTTCATTATTTTAAGAGGTTAGGAAAATCGCTGAAGGAGAATGTTAGGGTATTTTGTTATTTCCATATTCAGTCCCTGGTTTGCCTTTATTTAAAGACACACTTTATTCCTTAGAGCAATTTTAGGTTTATAGCAAAACCGAGCAGAAAGTACAGAGCTCTCATTTACCCCTGTCCCCACACATGCACCACCTCTCCCAAAACA